TTAAATTTGAAGTTAGCCTTTATGTTACCAACATAAGTATGTATTTCTATAAATAAAGTAATCAAGTAAGTACGCATGACTTATCAGTAAAACAAGTACATTTTTTTTTATTTTAGATTACAAAATATTAAAATTTATCTTTTATAATTATACGGCTATAATATTTTATTTATTTTAATCTGAAATAAATATTTACTCATTACACACTTCTTTTTTTTTTTTTTTTTTAATTTTTTTGTTTTTTAGGTATTTGTACTCATTGAAATTTTGTGGCGTGATTGCTATATATAATTATAAGAAGAAGAAAAAAAAAACAAGAAAAAAATAAAATTTATTAACTATTAGTCGCCATAATATTGTCATTTAATATAGGTGTACTTTTTGATAGGAGTAATCAACATACTTTATGTATACATGCTTTTATTATTTCACTTTTATACATACATAAATGTATTTAGGTATCTAGGTATATGTATACCTATTTTTACTATAAATAAACTTTGCTATACTAGCGACTAATATTTCTATTTTAAATTGTTTAAGTATGTTTTCTTTATATATTTTTAATTATTAATATTAACATGTTTGTAAGTATGTAGTACGCAATGGCTTTCTTATTGTATAGAGCTGGATGTTTGTTGGGTATATTAAGCCGCAGGTATTAAAATATTATTATTTTTTTTTTTTTAGTTTTATTTTTCTACCGGTTTTTTTTTTTATTTGCTTTATATTAAAAGATATTCGCTCATGTGAAAGTTATACACTGTATATAAGTATATAGTTACATATTTGAAATATGTTATAAAGCAATTATTTTATAATATATATAAGATATAAATTGAGATTATACATACAAACATATGTGTAAGTTCAAAAATTATATGATTTAAATACATATCTCAAGTATCTAAATAGTTGTTGGATAATATGCGTTTTGATGAGAAGTTGTGTATATCCACCTAAGAAAAAAGATATCAATTTTTTTATAGATTAAAAACATACGTACAGATTTATCTACTTATTTTAAAAATTAGAATTATATAAAATAATTATTTAGTAGGAAATAATATGATTATGATAATTGTGACAGAACGGGTTAAATGAAAATATAAAAATTTATTAGATTAAACGCATGGTTTTGTAAAACAGCATACATTTCCCTATATGAAGGAAATCCATTATAAGTCTAGATTTATGCCACTTTTATCCCAAGAAATGAATACATCGGTATTTTGACATACATAATTCGTTTAACATCTAGAAATATTGCATATTTTTAGGTAAATTTTTAGATCAAAAATGGTTCTAGTAGTACAAAGATTCAATTGCAGTCGCGAGATCATATTTTTCTTAATTGAGACATTCTTGTCTTATGTATTGTCAAAGAAATAAATGCCTGAAAAATTGACATTTTTCAAAACTTAAAAGAGGATGGAAGTCATATTACAATTTATTATATGTATTAAAAAAAAAATGTATAATATTTTTTGATATTTCTAAAATAGCTTTAAAAAAATTTTGTAGACATCGGGACTGTCTATCGAGTTAAAATAATAATTGAGGTTAAGTTTTGTAACGAGCGGATCTAGGATTTAGGGAAAAATTTACGTTCATATAAGATATATATAAACGCAATTAGAGTTTTTTTAGAGACTGGTTTCGGCGTAATCAAAATAATAGTCATTCGATGCGTTAAATGACAGTAACTTTGTATTTGATAGTTGAAATTATCATATAGTTTTTAATTGTCTTTTGATTTTGGCGAACACAATTTAGACAAATTTATAATTTAAAAATCAAAGTGGTTTCGGAATTATTCACTACCTACTTATTATAACTGGAATATTTGCAACATCAAAGATGCAATTCTAGATTTCCCAATTCTTTTATATATAGCAATCAAATTGGTAAATTTTCTAATGATCATCGGTTATTTTTTTTTGTAGGACTTTTATTTTTACTTATCGCCTGCATTAAATTGTCATCTTTTTCAATCTTCCTGATAATAACATTAAAATATAGAATTGGTTCCACCTAAAATATTTTTTTTAAATTTGTTATTTTTGCATAATTGCGTAAAATGTTTTTTTTTAAATAATACTTACCAAGTACTATTGTCCGCGATATTTTCATCCACCATCATTGAATTTCAAATGCACTGTTAAAAACTAACCTCAAATAACACAAAAACAAAGATTTTGTTATAAAAGAGAGGTGCCGGTTTTAAAAATTATTGACTATCATTTTAACATACATACATATGTAGGTTATAATGGCAAACGATTGACGTGTGTCAGTTTGCAACATTGAACGATTTATAGCTGTCAAATGGCGAACATTTTGACTATGCTGAAAGTAGGAGATATATAGAATAAAATTTATTTCTTTTCCTTAATTTGCCTTATTATAATTATAATGGTATCAGTACTCAATTTAACGACAATTCATTTTCCAAAATTATATAAGTAAATATATGTTAAAGAACAAAATATTATATAAAATCAACAAATCTTTAATTTATAGAAAAAAAAAAAATTAAAAATATAAGGAATTCAATCTTGAGATGAACTTTTATAAATTTTTTCTAACTAAGTATATACTTTTTGTTGTTTTTTTTTTATTTATTTAGAATGATTTCTGTATTTCTTTTAAAAATCAATTCAAAAATAATAAATTAAAAAACGTGTTTTTGCCACACCCTAATAAATTAATAATTAAAATTATTGAAAGTTAATTTTAGCATTAATTTATTCAATATATTCAATAATATTGTATGTATCTATATAAACATATATATATATATACAATATAAAATATAAAATACAAAATATATGGTGTATAAATTGCGTATCGTTTTATAAAAAAAAAGTCCGATAAGATTAGAAAAAAAAAATGAAAATTAAAATTGTAAGTAAAAACAATAAAATGCGTGCTTTTTCTATTTAATTTGTATTTATAAATTCTAATCGAATGAAATTGTTTTATGATTTTACAATTTTAAATTATATGCTTTAAAATATCAAGATATTCTTGTATTATACACATATACTCTATAGCATATAACACATTTTGCAGATTATATAATATAGCTTACTCTGGTTAAATTGATTTTATTACCAATTTATCTGCAAAATTATAAATGTATCATGATCAGCTGAGGTCTAAGTTTAATTAACTGATATAAAAATCTTAAAAATTTATATTTTAAGTATAGGTACTTATTAAGAATTTTAAAAATAATTTAAAGTATAAAGATTATTAATTGAGTAGCTAAGCACTTATAAACACTGTTAATTAAAATATAGAAGAGCCTTATATTTAGGTCACATAATAACTTTCTTAAAATTAAAATTTTAATTATTCAAATTTAATGCAATTTTAATTATTCAATATAAATCAAAACAGATTACAATTGCATTCAAATTGAAAATTGTCTAACATCATAATTTGATTTATTCAGCAAGACAATATTAATTGATGCAGATTTAGTTAAATAAGATGTTGGATGCTTATTTAGGACGAGTTTTCCAAATATTAAATATAATTTTAATTTTAAAATGAGTGTATGTATGTATAACATACAATGTGTGTTATCACATTTTGAGACATAAATACATATACAAATATATATTATTTATAAAATCAAAATTTGTCTGTAATAACGGTAAACTTACAAATGTTTAAGTTGATTACTTAGTACTTGCATTCGGTTTTTGTAACACCAAAATTTTTTTCATAATTTTGCTTTTTTTTTCCTAATTATTTTCATATACTTTTCGAATATATATAACAAATATTAATTTCAATTTCAGTTTATGATTTAATTAAGGAAACAAGATAAAAAAACATTTATTAATTATAACATTTTAGTCGATTTATTTTTTTAAAAAGAAAAAAAATATATATATATTTTTAAAATTACTTAAATATTAAATTAATAAATTAACAAAATTTACCAAGTATATAAAAGAACTAAGAGTTTAAAATAAATATTTTGTGAAATCAAAATCGAGTTTCTAAATATCAAACACATATCATAAAAAAAAAAACAAAAATTTATTATAAAACTAATTTAAAAATTAGTGTATGTCAATGTAAATACACAAATATAAATATATATATACATATATTTGTTAATGTGAATTTTTAAAAGTATTTTATTACACACAAAAGAAGAAAAAGTGAAAAAAAAAACAACAAGAAACACGAAACCAACAGTGTGCAATTTCTTAATTTAAAAAAATAGAAAAAAAATTAATTTTTAATTTTAATTTCTATACCAAGTATATTTTAAATACGAATGCACAGATTTTAGTACATCATACTTACATAATATATAATAAATAAAAAAATTTGTTATATAACTAAAAATATATACATATAGATGCTTATATAATTAAAATTTAGTTTAACTAAAGTGCAATAAAAATTAAAAAAATTAAAAAATTTTTTTTAATGTTTCTTTTAATAAATTTTGTAAATGTTATGAATATTGTAGTTTTAATAATTCAGCAAAAAGAAAGAAGAAATCAAAAATGATATTTCTATAAAAAAAAAAGAAAATTTATTAAATAAATATTTTAAATTAAAAATTATTTAAATTCAATTAACAAACAAAAACAAAATAAAAAAAAAACATTTTTAAGTAAAAAAAAAACCATAAACCATAAAACAAGAATAAAATTTCATGTTTTATAATTATAACATGTTTGGTAATTCAATTGATAATTTTTTATTAATTTATTTGAAATCAAATCAAAATAAAAAATTCACCAAAAAAATTAATAATAATAAATTAACAAAAAAGAGAAAATATAAATTCCATTCAGAAAATTTATTAGAACAGTTTATTAATTTTAATAAAAATAAAAATAGTAGTAACATTTATTTTATAAAAATTATTAATAATAGAAGTAATAATAAATTTTATAGTAAAATTAATTTTAATAATAAAAAAAACAGTGATATAAATAATAAATTTTCTAATTTATATTATAGATCGAAAAATTTTTTACCAAACATTTAAGCAAAAAGAAAAAAAAGCTGAGCATCTAAAAATTAAAAAAAAATATATATATAAAAATAAATAAATAAATAGATAGAATAATTAAATATTAAATGCAATAATTATAAATAAAATCAAAATTAAATTAAAATATCAAACAAAAAAAAAATAATTAAATTATAATAATTAATTATTAAATAATTAATAATTATATAATTAAAAAACTGTTTATATAAAAAAAAAAATTTAAAATTCCTATAATTATTTTCGATTTAATCGATAATGAACAAACGACGATAACCTAGATGTTACCAATGCATTTTATGTACCCCCATGTTTTTTCAAAGCAACAAGAAGAAAAAACGATTATGGCGTGCACGCGTCAAACAACCAGCAACCACATTAATACAATTAGCAGCATCAGCACAACAAAATTTAGTAGTAACAACAATACCAGTATCATTGACAACTATAACAACAACAACAACAACAACATCAGCAACAACAACATCGATACCGAAAATATTAAGTGGTACAATATCGAACAATTTGATAATGAGTACGCATTATTCAAATTATCAAGAAGAAGAAGAAGAACAACAACAACAACAACAACAACAACCAAAACAAGAACAAATTCAACAACAACAATATCTACAAATGGATTTGATGACAAATACACAAATTTTAGACGAAACATCGTCAACATGTCCAATGATTTGTCAACAACAATCTTCAATGAATACAATAAACAATTTAATGAAATGTTCTGGGGATCGAAGCGATACATCATCAATGATCGATGGTCAAGAAAATTCTATAAGTGGTTATTATTACGAAAACTCAATCGAAAGTACCACAGATCAAGAAGAGGATCAAACAATGTCAATAACAGCATCACCAATATCAACACCATCAATAACAACAACATCATCATTAGTAAATTTAGTGAGAAAATCAGCATCGAAACGTCGATTAATAGCAACACCAATACAAAATACAGTAGGTTATACCCAAATGATCAGACAAAAATCATCGACGAAAGATATTTTAACTTATCATCAATCATTGAGAGGGACAAATCCAACAAAATCTTCAACAATACAATCAGTAAATACTGGTACATCGACGGTATGCGATTGGGTAAAAAATTGTTGTGGTGGAGGAAACAATTTTTCAACCGATTCAATAAATTCCAGCCAATTATACAACAACAACAATACAAACAGCAACAATTTCAACAAGCTATCGACTTATACACCAATATTATCACGAAAAAATTTAGATACAAAAATTCAAGAACAAATTCAACAGGACACAACAGACGAACAATTAAAGCAATTGTTTCAAGCATTATTAGGAAAAGTCAAAGAACCTCAGTTAACGACATTAGTACAAGCTGTAGATTCCTTACAAAAGAATTCATCAATTTATTGTACTTCAAATTGTTCAAATACCGGTATATTATCAACGACGCCGTCGGATTCTTTAGGACATCAGCCGGACTGTGTCCTTGTGCCGCGTGCGTTAATAATGGGAATCGAACCGAATGTTATTGCGTGTCGGATATGGCGTTGGCCGGATATAAGAAGTTCAAAGGAATTGAAAAGTATTGCATCGTGCTGCAACGAAAAAGATCCGATTTATGCATGTTGCAATCCAACACACTGGAGTCGATTATTAGTTCCAGGTAAGTTTTTAAATAGATCTTTTAGAAAATCAAAAATTATAAAAATTTGAAATGTCAAATAGTGTCTCATTCAGCAATAATTTCACAAAAGTTGTAAAAATCCCTAGACTTTATAAAATCTGTGCTTGAATAAAAAATCACAACAAATGGTATTCCGTTCGGAATATTGCACGACGATTGAGCAAAATATTTTTTGAGTCGTTCGTATTTTGAATATTCGGAATGAATAAATGAAAACGTCAAAATTTTTTGCACGTTCCGAAAGGAAAATTTGTAAAGCCAAAATACTTATAAGTGACAGTAATTGAATGACTAACGGGTTAATAGAGTTCGAGGCGAAACCGTCTTATTGAGGCCAAAAAGGAGAAATTATCGAAAAATCTAGTCTAATGTCAAAAACATCTGTTTAAAATGAAATGCTCAAACTACCTACATTCATGCGAGTTGATCGAGTTGATTATAATATGTTACTTAATTCTACTCAGAATATGCCTGTTTTTTTTGTTCTCTTCATATCTTATTTTATTGATTTTATTTTTTTTTATTTTAAAATGAATCACACACATATTTATATACAAATATATATATACTAATAAATATCTAATATTGCATATACATATATATAGGTAGCTGGCGTCAGAAATATTTTTAATATGTTCTATATATATTATAAAATATATCATATATATATCCATACATATGAAAATTTACACATACTCTTATTTTTGTACGAAATATTAAATTTATTCGTCATGTCAAGTTAACAATGAGCTTATTCGAAAAGTTTGCGATACAAATGTGTATGTACGTGCATATATATACATATGTATGTGCATATGTGGTTATAGTTATATTTGAAATATACTTGCTCTTTATAATTCGTATATAAAATAAATAAAATATTCAAGTAGCTCTAGAAACTAGCTCAAAATTTTTTCTTTTATATTTTATTATTTCGTTGTGCATGTTGTATGTAGGTATACTTTTGCTAATTCACACTTGTTAATTTTTAAATTACTTGAAATTTTTATAGTTGAGTTTGCATGTATGTATGTATGTACCTTCTAACTAATAATAAATGGTGGAATTATGAAATTTTCATTATGAAAGTTCAAGAATAAAATATTGTAAATGATATTATATTTTATGATTACTAGAAAAATTTGTATTACATGCGTGAATATTCAATAAATTTGAATTTTACATTTAACATAACATTATTTTAGAGAATTTTCGAATTCAATATTTTAAGGTGAGGGATTACTTTTGCAAATTGTTTATATTGTGTTAAAAAAGTTGTAAATTAAAGCACGGTATTAAAGAAAATAAGTCTCGAGAGGGCGCTTCTGTGAGTACTACTAAATTGGTTGAGATGCACAATTGATTTTCTTTTTATGTCCCAAAGTATTGTCTTGCGTATTGTACAATATAAATATAGGAATTGTAAGTACAGTGTAAACAGACATTAATTTACTCTAATAAATTACTAAATTTTGAATTTAAATATTGATTTAAAATATTTCAAAAATTTGTTCCGAATAAATCTATGGTTTGTAAGATAACATAATCCACTTTAATAATGTATATCAAGAATATATTTTTATAACAACCTTAGATCTTAATAATGTCTTGATAAATGTCTTAAGTCTTAAATAGGAAATTTGACATTTAAAGTGACAGACAAAATTAGAAAAGAGTTTTGTTTTGATATACAATATTTACGATATTTACAAATCCTAAAAATTCTCCGAAAATGCGTAAAAAGCTATAATAATTAAAAAAATTGAAAGTACAGGTAAAAATAATTTGTTTCTGTAAAAAATATTGTATCCTTGGCTCTGAAATTTCTGCCTTCTGACTTTCAGAGTATAAAATATTTAAATAAACTAATGAACAGACGGATATTATAGAATGAAGCTTCCAATATCTCCTAATAATCACGTCCTCCTGACATTTATAACAACAAAATGAATTTTTTTTTTATTAAAATTTACTTAAATTAATCCAAACTAAAATTAAAATAGTCGGTTATCAATATGAAGTGTAATCATCCAATTAACCTTAAATAGAAATTGACCTTTTTTTTTGATAGGCACTTCTAGTTATTCATTTAATTGTGCTTCTGCTCTTATTATCTTATCTACACAAATTATATTAATGACTAATAAATTATAATTTTTATATTAAATATTATATTTTATCAAATATAGGTTACTTTTTCTATATAAAAACTATAATAAGTTTATTATCAATTACTTATAAATTATTATTGTGTGCAATTATTTAATTATGTATGTATAAATGTTTTATAGTTGTATTACACATAAAATATTTCAATAAACTCAGGTACGTATGTGTTAATACCGATAATATTCCTGTGAAATTTAAAAATTTCAAATTTAATTTTAATAAAAAGGTAATTGTCGAATAATTGTGTGCGTATTTAAGTATATGGATCTCGTATATGTACATTTTATAATAAATATACGAGTACATCCATATACTTAAAATTTATGGCGCGAATAAATTTCTAATGAAAATTTTCAAAGAGGTGAAAGAAATAAATTGCGTTTCAAAAAAATCTATAATAATCAAGTAAAAAATGCGTTTCGGCTGATTTCATTTTGGACAGCAAACAATAGTGGCGCTAACAGTAATAGTTTCGACTTAAAAGATAAGTACCCCGAAAAAAATATAGCGATTTGAAATCGACCGTACAGCAGGTTCCTTTATAATTTTTTATTTCAGTATCTTATATAAAAACGTTTTGATTCCTGCCCTAAAAGTATGCATGTATGCAATGAAATATTTTAAACAATAAAAAAATCCATTTCAACATACTGACTCAATTTTAAGTACGGCTTTATTTGGCCCTTATCGTCGAACAGAGCCATAATAAACATTTGAACGCATTTCTATACTTCTCTCTATATATACCAAAAATTTAGCTGCTAGATGCTAGAAATTTAGCATACGAGAGAGTTTTTGGAGAAAGTTTTGATAATTGTAGGAAATTGTGTGTTTAATTTATTTGCTGTTCTCTCTTTTTTGATCATATCCAATACAGTAATGAGTGAGTCATAGTAAATAAATTAAGTTTTTTTCTACCAGTAAAAGAGAGTCAACTCTTAAGTTTTTGAAGTTTTTAAAAGTGTGTTTGAAATATTGAGATTGTTTCTTTCGGAAAGCTCTCATATTGTATTCTGTTTGACCTAATTTTCAGTTAACTGTCTATTTGTTATGTTAATTTAGTTTCTCATTATTAATAGTAATCATATGTATATACTTTTTTATTTTAAAATTGTATATAAGGTCATCTATTACCTAAAATTAAACCTAAGATTTTATTGATTGAAATAAGAGAAAATTTATTATTTTTGTTTTATCTTTCGTAACACAAAACAAAAACCAAAAATCAAAGTGTCTAAATCATCTTACCTATTATAAAACAAAAGTATAAATGTACAATCTATTCATTTTCGTATATGAGAAATAATTCTTGTAATGCGTAAATGTATTTGATATATCACTGTCTATATAATATTTGTGTGTGTTTGTTGAACACTTACATAATATGCTGCAAGGTATCCCTTCATACAGCTGTGTATTTTATCTTCAACATTGCTTATTGGCGCCTAGAATTGGACTTCTTTATATTGAACAAGTGAAATATTTATTGTGGCGCCTAAATTTAACGCATTTATACACAATATTTATCTATCTATCCACTCAATTTTTTTGATTCTATTATCGAAAAAAAAAACATAATAAAAAACAAAAAAAAAACTAAAATTAATATCATTTTTTCTTCTTATGCTCTGTATATGTGTATATGCATCCATGCATATTCAAAAAAATATGTGAACTTATGGATATACGAACGTTTGTGTATATGTACATATTTCAATGAATAAAACTCATTAAGTTGAGTTGATTTTAACACTGACGCCTATTCTCAAATAAAAAATTTTTTTAAATTTATAAATTTAGAGAAGAAAACAATAAAAAAACATAACATAAATAGTTGAAAATGGAAAATAGACATAATAATAATAAGAAATAAGAAAAACCGCCGTCAGTTGTCGCTCTAATGCTCTAATGCAATAAACATATATATATAAATACATATATGTATGCATAGGTCTATACATTGCTTTGAACACATTAAGCACTAACCATTAAGTACATAAAATATAAATTGGCGCCTTATTGCGTATTTTATATCTAAGAAGAGCATATTAGCATTAGAATAGTTGCTTTATTTTTAAAATATGGCCGCAGTAGATAAATTTAATACTCGTACAAATATGTTTATTGAATTTTATTTGCAAACTGAATTGCATTTACGCACAGCACTGCGTTTTTTTTTTTTTTATTTTTCTTAATGACATTTACATTCAATGCTTTCTACTTATTCATGAGCTCATGAGTACACATACGAATATATATACATACATATATGTATAAATATTGGATATGAGCGGAGAACCATAGTGTAACCATAAAATTTAAAACCACAAAATTGTAACTAATTTCTGTAATATATAAAAAAAAAAAATTTTTTTAGCTGACATAAATTTGAATATAAAAATTTATACTTAACGGATTTTGAGAAATTTTAGTTGTTCTCGTTATATTTTTCAAACAATTATTATATACTAACAATAGTACTTAATTATGTAAGCCAAAAATTTTTAGTATCTATTAAACTGGTATGTCAAAAGAACAAAACTGGTCAAAAACATGCCGGTATTCAAATTTTTTAAAACAGTAATGTGATGAGAATGTCCACATACATACTTACATATATAAAATTGTTAGGACATGACAATTCATAGGAATTTTTTGGTCTATATACTATACAACATTAAAAAGTAGCTACTGATTCTTTGTAAAGTAAAACAATTCCGACGCTATAATATATTATGTATAAGTAACTCTAATGAACCCGAGTCCATAAATCCTTAATTTTATTGATCAACCCAACGTTAAGAATAAGA